TAGTCCTTGCACCTAAACCTTCACCAAGAACCAACTTCCAGTTCTTGAACCACCCTGCAGCCAAATTCCATCCACAGAAAATAATGCCCACACTTCCAGACACTCACAATACAGTAATGAAATGTAAAAGAAACAAAGAGAAGAAACTAGAACACTCAAACCCGGATTATGCAGCTCTACAGAATGAGTTTCTTCACAAAAGAAATGCAGAAATTGTCTCAAGAAAGAACTTTGAAAAACTTCACAAAACTTGCATGATTCTTTCTTGAAAGTAGCTCTTATGATTGCTTGATTGATTGCTCAAAGGTATATTTTTAAAAGACTCAAGCAATCCTGTTTATATAGAGAATTGTTCTAATTGCTAGTTTAATTAATCTGTTAAAACAATATTTTAAGCTGTTAAAACAATCTTTTAATCTGTTAAAAGTCTTGAATTAATTTGTTAAAACTTCTTTTAATCTGTTCAAATATTCTTGATCATTTTCGAAATTTGTTTTAACTGATGCGACATCGTTTCAATCGATTACAAAACTTTGTAAAAAATCCCCTAAGTTATTTTAATCGATTAATTCGCCTTTTAATCGATTAAAATACTGTCAAATGTTTTCATAAAACTTTCTAAGTGATCTTAACTGATATAGTCTGTTTTAATCGATTAAAACACTTTGGAAAAAATCTCTTAGTTGTTTAAATCGATTAATTCACATTTTAATCGATTAAAATCCTGCCAAATTTTTTTATAAAACTTTCTGAGTGATTTTAACTGATAACACATCGATTAAAATCCTGACAGAACTTCTTTCAAAACCTTTCAAGTGGTTTTAATCGATTAATTCGAGATTACATCGATTAAAATATTGACAGAACATATTTCAAAACACTTCAAGTGATTTTAATTGATTATTTCGAGTTTGTATCAATTAAAATACTGCTAGAACACTTTTCAAAACATTTTAAATCATTTTAATCGATTATTTTGAATCTACATCAGTTAAAATACTAGCAGAAGGTTTTCAAAAACTCTTTTAATGAAAACAATCGATTAATTCGAAGATATATCGATTAAAATAGTTCCAGTGTATGTTTTAAAAGGTTTTAATCGATTATTTCGAAAACCTATCAGTTAAAAACCTATTATGTAAGTGTTAAGAACATTTTAACTAATAAAGCTCATATAATAACTGTTAAAACAATTACTTAAAAAACATTTGACTGATTACTTTGGTTTTTAAAAGATTAAACGCATTTAGAGACATTTGCAAAATCTTTTAAATGATGAAACCTCATGCAGCAGAGAGATATGAATGATTATACCTATGTATAGATGCAGACTCACTAATCACTCTACCCTTTTAACCAAGTAACCTTTGACTTCAACATAATTGCCTTTGACTTCATCAAATCAACAAGATCTTCGTTTCATCAAATGATTCAATAAGATCTTCATCACTTTCAAAGAACACTTTAGCTGATGTACCCACTGCCCAAAGCATGTGATTCTGCACTCAGTCAAGGGGACACGACCAATTAAGACTGAAATATTGTAGGTCTGTCATTTGGATTTCAAAAATTTGAAATCCGATCTTCATTCATGAAATCAGGTTTTGCATAAACTCATATATTTCTCAGCTTCTCCTATTTCTCTTATTTTCATATCTTTTCCAAATTTCTTCTCAAATTTCTGCTTCAAACATGTTTAAAAGATCAAAATCAAGGAAGAAACATAAAGGGGAATCTTCCTCTACTGCCAATCCTGGTAGACATTTAGAAGCTTGGTTCGTTGGTGACATTGGCAGAATGAATACCTTCATTGCTGAATTTAGTCAGAAGCAAAATGTAATTCACAAGTTTATAAAGTTCAATTGGCTAGATGAAGAAGGATTTACAGCTTTAAGAAGGCAATTGAAAAGACAAAAGCTAAAAAACCTTCATGGAGTATATTGGGAATATTCAACCTGATTTGGTTCGTGTTTTCTATTCCAATCTGACCATAAATGGATCTACCATAAAATCTCAGGTAAAGGGAGTTAATATGGAAATCACTCCTTCTGTTTGGGAGCAAGTTGTTGGTCTCAAAGACTCTGGTGTTAAAGTATCTAGAGGGAATATCTCTAACTTACCCGAGTTCAACAAAATACAATATTTCAGATCCTGCCTCAAAGACCCAAATGATTCGGTAAGGGGTTTAAATGCTGGAAAGTTGATGCTTGAACCAAGGCTACTAGCCTTCATTGTTGCATGGATACTAACTCCCAGGGGGAGCAATCATGCATTGCTAAATGAAGGTGACCTCGCTCTCATGTATTGCATTTCAAATAATATTCGGGTCAACTGGGTATATATGATCAAGGATCACATGTTGAAATCAAAGAGATTATCCGATTATAAATTGTCATATGCCATGTTAATTAAAAAAAATTTTAGATATTTTGAAGTAGACCTTGTAGGAGAAAATGTGGAAACCCCTAAAGCATCAAACGAGATTGATGATTCCACTCTATGAAAAATGGGGTTCATCAAAATTGATGATGAGTGGATTTCTAAGATTGATGTTGGGATGTCTGAAGATGAGGAAGAAGATGAAGAAGAAGTTGATCAAGGTCAAATTCCTTCTTCTCTAGCTGCTACTGAGGTTCCTGAATCCACTAGTGGTCAAACTTCCTATGAGAACATGGAGATCATACCATACATTGAGCAACCTGACCGTGAAACTCCTCTCTCTCAGTTTGAAAGAACCATGCTCTCTCAAATGACCTCACTGTAAGAAAATCAAAGGAAACACATGCAAATGACTTACCGGCACTTCCAGCAGACCAACACACAATTCTCCAACCTGGGAAATCAGATTGCTGACATTTATACCAAATTGGAGGATATGCAATTGAATCAGGGAAAATGGGAAGATTAAGTCTCATCAAGAAAGGTCCTTTCTATCATTTTTTTCCTTTATCACTGCTTTTATCTGTTATCTTGTTGGTCTGTAATATTAACTAGTAATTGACCAGAAACACTCCTTGAACATCCTTAAATATGATGCAGGCATTTAGATTTAAAATTAGAATTGAATTAGAGACCCTAAATAGACTAAATCACACGTCCTGATAGTTTTAGCCGATATAAAATCATTTTAATCGATTAATTCCATTCATAGACATACTCACATAGACAATCCGTACTGTTCTAATCGATTAATTCGATTTTTAATCGATTAAACTTACTTACAAAAATTCACCTAGGCTATATGTTCTGTTTTTAATTGATTATTTTGCGATAGAATCGATTAAAAGTTCTAGGATGTGGAATTATATCGACTAGAAAAGTTTTACATCAATTAAATTCACTATGTTATCATATTTTGTTATTGTGCAAATTTTCCACTCATTCTTGGGTTGTCAATATTCATGAGTTGTATGATCTTTGATTTTTCTTAACATCATATAACTATTGGATTTTAGAATATTTGACTTGTCAATACACCAAGTTGTATTGGAAATGACATATGGGAAACAAATTCCATCCTTTCCCAATTGAAGCCAACCACATTCTGGTGAAACACTTTGAAAAGGAAAGGATCTAGAAAGAAATTTATAAAGAAACAGGAATTCATGAACAACAAACTCCTGGAGCTTTATTTCCCTTTGATAATGAGGAGACATAATACACATATCAAATGATTGAAGAAGAAATTGGAGACATAACTTCTGTAACAGCTACTAGAAGATGTCTTTAAATGTTTTTACCTATGACAAAGTAAATTTGCTCTTATTGAGTAATAGACTGAAGGGTAAAAACTTACTACAAAAGTACCCCGTCATCGAAAAATCGGAACAATAAGTCACCGGTCACAAGGTAATAGGTTCAACAAGTTGCAGGTTGCAAAATTTTTCTATAAATAGAGCTCGTAAGACCCTTATGTTGGGCAGAAGCCTCCTCCCCCTCTCACTACTCTCCTTTCTCTCCTCCTTCTCTCTATCTCTCTCTTATGTATATTTTTCTCCATCAATAAAGGAAGTATTTCGGATCACCCCTCTCATTCCCCCCGATCTAAGTAAGTTTTCTTTATTTTTCTTTTCTCTTATGAAGTAGTTTTCTTGTAAGGGCGTCCTCAAATACCTTAAGTAGTATTTATTAAAAGATACGATAATCATTTAAAGGCTTAAAAATTCTGTATAGCTATTTTTATGTTTATATAAGCTTATGAGAAGATGCCTAACGGGCTCTGCCAGATTCAACATCTCATAATCTTATCATGAATTTGTATAATTACATGTCTTTATTTTTCCATCTTTATATTTTATTTTTCATATTCATATAAGCTTATGAGAAGATGTCTAACTGACTCTACCAGATTCAACATCTTATAATCTTATCTTGAACTTTATACCTATAATCGACTTTATCTCGGACAATCTTCATTTCAACTAGCCTAATTTCAAGTTCTTTGTAAGTTAAGTAACCACGTTAACTAACAGAAGAGATAAAAAATTATAACTATTATTTTCCCCCTCCTAGAACACATAAGATAGAAAACTTTCTTAAGATTGTAAATTTATTAGGATTAAAAATTTATATAAGAAAGGAGAAAATACATAATCATCTATACGTACATTACACAAATAATTGAAGAATTTCCTAACTCATAAATATTAAAATAATATAACATAACAACAACTATAAAAAATATTAAAAATATTTAATAATAACTAATTCGTATAATATTAGACAATATATTTACAACACTTCTTTTATTTAAACAAAGTCAATGAGTTTATTATTACTGCATTTGTGATTTTAATAGTTATTGAAATTGAAATGAAACTCGACATATTTTTCTTAAAAAAAAAAAAAAACTTGAGATATTTCAAGGGACAAATATATACTTCTTAAAAAAAAAGATTAAAAATATTCAATACTTTCCTTGCGAACAAAGCCTTGAATATTCACTTCACTAGTCACTACTACATTCTCTGCACGCAGACTATCCCTTCCTACACACAAACATGAACTTGGACGGCTTCCAGAAGGCTCTGGCGGACCTTCAGGGCCGCTGCTCCACGCTGCTCGGCAACCTCACCCGTCTCCAGCCCAACCACGGTCCATTTCCCGCCCTTCCCACCAGCCCGCCCTGGGCCCGGATTGCACCACCGGGCCGGGGCAGGCCCATGACGGTTGAGGCAATCGAGGAGCGGTTGGAGGGGATACCCGTTTACGCCCTCAGCAACGCTTCGGAGGAGTTTCTTTTGGTCTCGGGCTCTTCCACCGGAAAGCACCTAGGTCTCTTCTGCTTTAACAAGGATGACGCCGAAGCGCTCCTCAACCAGGTCACGCTTATCGACCCTCACGCGCGCCAGGGCTCCAAAGTCGTTCCCGTTGCGCTCAACAAGGTCCTCTATTCTTCTCTTTCCACACCTCTTCTTCTTCGCTCTGTTTCCTTTGGTTACTTGTCTCGCGCTTGTTTCTTCAGGTGTTTCAGCTCAAGGTGAACGGCGTTGCGTTTAGATTGATACCGGAGTTTTCTCAAGTACGGAATGCCATCAAAGTGAGTCGTTTATTCATTATTTTCATTTGCAAATTGTTTAGGTTGATTGGCTCAAACCATGGTTTGCGCATTGTAACACCGAACGCACACCTAAACCCGGCAAAACCCCTAAAACTTTCAATTTTACCATTAGTTCCAACCAAAGTCCAGGTTTTTCAAGTGTTTGTGATGGCAATGAATGTGGCTGCAGTAGTTTGTAACTATATGGCTGCATTGGTCTGTGCTTTTCCTCAATATCAAGAAATGTGACCGCAATTTTAAACCTTAGTTCTTTTGTCTAAACCAGGCCTGATTATTGAAATTCACTAATGGCTTTTGTTGCTCAATTGAAAATACCATGAGGCTGAAGATTGGACAGAAGTATGCTGCTATTAATTTTTGATATGCAGTATGTTATTTAGAGTGGAGGCTATGAGGTTCCAAATATCGACTACATCTGTGAAGTGTCTTGGATTTGTGCTGTTGACTTTTCAAACGTGATAACTTTGAACCATTTCACTATTCTTTTTTGCTTTTCACCTCTAACAGATAAATAGGCTTTATTCTTCACTCTTTGGTGTTTTTATTATTTCGATTAGCATAGTTCTTTGGGTCTCTCACAGAATTATGGTTGATTGTAACAATTTGTGGTGACAAATATTTGAGCTAGACTCTCTTAGTACTTTGTGTGCAATTTATGGTGACAAATCTTTCTTGACGCAACAATTACTTTGTTGATAGAAAGCTTCTTAACAATAATTTACTACGATTGTGGACTGGTTCTCACTAATTCCTAGAATTAGAGCTGACTTCTCTGGTGTACAAGTCATTTTTCTATTATAATGTCTAATTAGCTAATTTGATACAATTTTCTCAGAAATTTGTCATGCATACTGAAAACTGGTTGATGTGAAGTTTGAAAATGTGCTTGTAATCCCTCTATTTTCCATGCTATTTGTCATTGAGCTGTACAGTAATGATAATTTATGCTTGTGCTTTACAGGAGAGGGAAAAATCTGGCTCTGCTTCCACTGGCTTTTCTGGTGTTCCAGTTTTCCAGGTTCTTCTCTCAGCCTTTTAAGTCTGGACATCATTTGTGTTTAATTCTTGTGTCACGAGCTATTAAGAATTCGTGATTCGAGGAATGGTTCACAACATTTTAATACTGCATACGTTTTAAAGAAACGAAGGCTGACCTGATGATTGAGGCTCTCACCTAGTGGGGTCTGGGGAAGGTAGATGCATGCAACCTTATCCCCATAAGTGTCGAGTCTGATTTTATGCGGATTATCTATTTATTGAGGAAGCAGAAATCGTGCAAAATTGGGTGAACAATCAAGGTCATGCATGAAACTTATACACAATAAAAATAAACAATTTTAGAACAAAAAAGAAAATAAAGTAATCTTATGTCTTAGAAGTACATGATTATAATAATGAAAAGAAATCCCTGAAACAAGGGACTCTAGTTGGTTGAGTGTGAAGTTCTCTTAGCAATGTGTGTGCCTTTTGTGTATATAGGTTGTATTTTTTATTGTTAAGGTTCCAACATAAAACCAATTGGTAATATGTGGAGTAGCCTAACATGTATTTAAACCATACCAAATGATATGAGGTAGGCAATGTGGGACTTTCAACACACCCCCTCCAACGGAGCCTGCCAGACCAGGCAAAGGGTACTTTTGACCCAACTAAAGGACAACTTTTGGTCCATAACAGAAAGATGTTAGGCTTTGGCTCTAATACCATGTTAAGGTTCCAATATAAAACTAATTGGCAATATGTGGAGTAGCCTAACATGTATTTAAACCATACCAAATGATATGAGGTAGGCGATGCGAGACTTTCAACATTTATCTTATAGTTTTATTTAAGAGAAAAGGGGAAAGAATCAGCACTGAAGAAGGAGTGAGAGTGAGTTAGAGATACACTTCATCGTATTTTCTTCTGATTTTGGTATCTATCTAATATTAGTTTAGAAAAGGGAAATATGTTCTGCGAATATGATATTGATAGTACTCCCCAGTGTTATGAATGCTGGATGGCCAAAATTTTACCATATAAACATGCCATTGTGGCATATGGCACTGCCATTCGGGCTTCCCCTCACAAATTGCATATGGCCATTAGCAAAAAATGGGTCCTGCCATGGAGACGACATTTAGCACATTGATACTCCTTCCATCCCATTTGGTTGATGTACATGGTTTTTGCACAGGAATTAAAAAAATGAAATTGATATTTTATATTCATATAATTTTTGTATAATTTTTTAATAGACTGATTGTCTTTTATATTAATTACATTCTCTCATGTATAACTTTTTTATTTTCTCACTCCATTAAAGTGGTTAAGGATAAAATCGAAACAAAATATTTAATGTTAATCAAAACAGGACAGTTTTTTTTGCCGAAACATCAAAGAAAATGGGATGGAGAGAGTAGTTTGTTAGCAATGGGCCCACAATCAGGAAAGTATATTGCTAGTTGAAGTTGTTGGAGGAGTTGTTGTCGGTTTCTGATGCAGTAATAGAGGTAGGATATAAATAGTGGGAGAGAATGTAAGGGGAAGGAGTTAGTTGGTTTGTTAGGCTTGGGTGGGAGAGATCAGACTTTAAATTCTTTGGAATGGAGACTACTTTAATATGCCATCCTTGCTTGGATTCCATTGATCAGTGTAGAAGTATGCTGCCCAATAAATTTCCTTTTCTTTCGTTCTGTTAATTTCCAGTCACAACTAGTATCCTTTCATACCTGTTTCTAGTTCCTTCCATAAGATATCTGCTCTGTTGTAGTGGTTTTATTTGTCATTGGGTCATATATGTTTAACATAAATAATTTATATTTTAATGTGGTCGCTGGAGGAAACTACATTCTAGCCTTTGGGTTGGGATCACCCTTCTCGGACATTGGAAAAATGTGAAAGTTTCTATAACTCATATCATCTCTATGTTAGCTCACCGGGGATTTGCATAATAAGGCTTGGTCAGAAATTAAAACAGGATATTCTTTATACATTATCTAAAAATATAGATTTGATAAAACCATTCATTCCTTATGTTAATGTGCAGTCTCTTTTAACTTTCAAATATTAAAAGCTATAGATAATCTTGTGTTGAGTTCTTTAGTACATTATGCTTGCTTACAAAAAAAAAAAAAAATCACATACATAAGTTCATTACTCTACTTGTCATCTCTGGTTTCTCTGATGTGTTTATTAGAAATTCTAGTCTAACCAGGACTTGTAAGACAGTCTCAACTATGAACCTGCTATGGTCTCTTGATTAATCAAACTTTGTTGCTAAAATAAAACGATGAAGAATCAAGTACCAATTATAATTCTGGAAAATTAGATTAAATGAAATCTGATTTCATTATATTAATACAAAGAGATCATACAAGATATATACAAGAGACTTAAGCTATTTTAGGAAATATAATAACTTTATTTTATTATAGGATCCCTTAATTTATGAGATTATTCCTAATTATTCAAATCTGTACAAATTACAAAGAAATATACAAATTTTCTAATTTATTCTTTCTTAAAATACTGTTTGATTTCCTACATTCCTCCTCGAGCTGGTGAATAAATGTTCCATTCCCAGCTTGGATACAATCTTCTCAAAATTGTGGCAACCCAGTCTCTTGGTAAGAATGTTTGCAATTTGGTCTTGAGAGGACACATATGGAGTGTATATCAAGCCACTATCAAGCTTTTCTTTGATGAAGTGTCTGTCTACTTAAATATGCTTTGTTCTATCATGCCGCACTGGGTTGTGGGCTATGCTGATTGCTGACTTATTATCACAATAGAGCTTCATAGGTTCTTCCCACTTTATCCTCAAGTCTTCTAAGATGATTTTAAGCCATAACAACTCACATATACCTTGTGCCATGGCTCGGAATTTCGCTTCAGTACTGGACCGAGCCACTACAACCTGCTTTTTGCTTCTCCAAGTCACAAGATTTCCTCCAAGAAAGGTGCAATATCCTGTAGTTGACCTCCTATCCACAATTGACCCTGCATAATCAACATCAGTATGGACTTCAAGCTTCACATTACCATTCCTTTTGAATAAAATCTCTCTTCCTGGAGTTCCTTTAAGGTACTGTAAAATTTTGTGAGCAGCTTGTAAATGGGTCTCCTTTGAACTATGCATAAATTGGTTAATTAAACTCACTGCATAGGCAATATCTAGCCTAGTATGCGACAAATATATAAGTCTGCCCACTAATCGTTGGTACATAGCTTTTTCAACAACAGCAGGTTTGCAAGCTGCCTTGCCAGTTTCCTTGAGCAAATCAGTGATGTATTTCTGCTGGGATATAAATATCCCTTTCTTGGAGTGGGCAACTTCAATTTCCAAAAAATATTTTAGTTTTTCCAAGGTCTTGATCTCAAATTCCTTGCCTAAGCATTGACTCAACAATTGCTGCTCTTCTTTATTATCTCTAGTTAATATTATGTCATCCACATACACCAATAATATTGTTACTCCCCTTGACTTTGAATGTTTAAAGAACAAAGTATGGTCCCCTTGGCTTTGTTTGTAACCCAGACCTGTCATAACTTTAGTAAACCTGCCAAACCATGCACGGGGGGACTATTTTAGTCTATATAATGCCTTTTTCAACTTACAAACAATGTTGGTAGCAACATCTTTACCATATCCCGAAGGTATCTCCATATAAATTTCTTCTTCAGGGTCTCCATGTAGGAAAGCATTCTTAACATCAAATTGTTCCAAGTTCCAATCATAATTGATAGCAAGGGACAATATCACCCTAACTGTGTTCATTTTGGCAATCGGAGCAAATGTCTCCAAATAATCAACTCCATAGGTTTGGGTGAACCCTTTGACAACTAGTCTTGCCTTATATCTCTCAATTGATCCATCAGCCTTGTATTTCACTGTATAGACCCATTTACATCCAACTGACCTCTTTCCTATTGGTAAGGTGA